ACACCCCAGTTTAACACGTAGGCTTTCACGACCAATATTATTCATATAAATAACGGGATCTAACCCAAAAACCTTTATTATGAATAGATACACCCCTTCGTTTTCTGTCTGAAATCCTGCGGCCTTTCACTGGAAAAAACACCTCTGCAATACAAAATTCTACTCACCTGGTATCGACAATCAAGGGTATTTCTCCGTCCCCAGACGACCTGCTCGTCAGTTTTGATGTAGTTTCCTTATTCACCAAAGTTCCTGTACCTGACACCATCGCAACCATTGAAGACTTGGTTCATCAAGGACTAAACACTGAGCTACCCCCCCTGGTGAGACACTGCTTAACCAATACATACTTCACTTGGAATGGAACTTTCTACAAACTAAACTGAGGGCACCCAAATGGGCTCCCCCTTATCTCCGGTGATAGCCAACATTTTCATGGAGAAATTTGAGACTGACGCCATCCAGACTGCCACTCTGTGCCCAACCTTATGGAAGAGGTACGTGGATGACACTTTTGTCATCTGGCCACATGGCCGGCCTGCTCTAGACCAATTCTTCGACCACATCAATTCCATACACCCAGCCATCAGATTTACCATGGAAGTCGAAAAAGATGGCAAGCTACCTTTTTTGGATGTCTTAATAAAAAAGAGACCTGATGGTTCAATGAGCCACTCTGTCTACAGGAAAGCTACCCATACGGATGCTTATCTGAAACCGGATTCCCACCATCATCCATCACAGAAGAATTCTCTCATCAAGACTCTGCACCATAGAGTCCAATGCATATCCGACCAGGAACACATAGGCAGTGAACTCAAGCACGTACACCAAGCTCTTAAGGCTAATGGTTACTCCGACTATATAATCCGCAAAGCTATCACTCAAACAATGAAGAAGGACCCTCTTGAGGAGCCTTTCAATACCATCACTTTATCCTACATTGCAGGGATCACAAAAAATATCTCCAAAATCTTGAATAAACACAAGATCCAGGTCCGTTTCAACAGATTACATAAAATCCGTGATCTGGACCGTCTGTAAAATATGTGATTCCGGACATACAGTACCCTGGTGTCTACAAACTAAGTTGCCTCTGTGGTAGTAGTTACATTGGAGAAACCAAACGACATGTCTCGGACCGCATTCGTGAACACAAAGCAGACCTTAAACATGGTAGGACTAACACCTTGGCCATGGCAAATCGCTGTTATAATTCAGTGGACTCACATGACATTGACTTCTCCAAGACAGAGGTTCTTTGCAAGTCATCGGGCTACCATGAGAGATTCGTTAATGAGGCTATCCACATATACAAACACAGAGACAATTTCAACCGAGAAGATGGATTCTGGCTTAGCAATCATTGGAATAATTTGATAAACCACTTCGGGTCTTAATTGATTGTTCACGCTTACGGTGGCTTTCAGACAGCATACATTAAATTTTCATCTCCCCCCTCCTCTTTTCCGAACGTAGATGGACTCGTCCTTCTAAACAAACTGTCAAATCGCTATCTGTGGCGTAAACATTAAAAAATAAATAAATAAATAAATACGAACCGCCACTTCTTTTAAATGTTTCTTGTCGTTGGTTTTCACACCTGATGATGACTGTTTGTGTTACAGTCGAAACGTCGTGAGAATTTTATTGTTTTATATATTATAATTTTATTGTTTCCCTTCAACGTGACTTTACCGAAAGAACCAAGAATATCTTGGAAAAAGTTTCTATTGAGGTTTTGTTCCAATTACAGGACAGATACTGCTCTGGTAAGAATAACCAATACTTTAAGAATGAGTGCAGATTCAAATGTGATATCCGATTTGGTTCTGCTGGACTTTAGTGTAACTTTTCCTACAGTGGATCAATCCATTTTAATTGACCATCTTAAAGGCTTTGCAGAAAATGCATTAAATTGCAGCAGTATCTCACGTAACAGTGAGATACGTTCACGAATATTGCTCGGCAAGCAAAAACTCGTTCAACAATCATCATTATCCCATTGCCTCCCATGTTAAAAGCTGAACCAGGTTGCATCCCCAACAACTTTTTTTCGTGAGAAATACAAATTATAATTTTAAAATAAAGTCATAAAAGATCAAATGTAACACCACACATTAAGTACCACAGTGCAAAATCCTCTGTATAGCCTGAACATACTCTTGGGGGAAGTGCTATTAGCGAGCACCGATGAAGGCTGGAATGGCACAAGAGGGGTGCGGTGGCCAGCACCCACGTCCTGGTGGCGATGTTTACATACTGCACCAGGTATTCATTTTAGGCTGAGTCAACCTAGGGGAGGCCCAGAACCGATTCAGATAATCGTCACTGGTGTTGGCTATGAGAGGGAATTGAACTCGGGGCGCCAGGTTCTTACCAGTGCGCGCCAACCATTACAACAACGCTCCCCCACACCCACCCCCCTCTTCGCACCCTCCCCCACAAAAAGCAGCACACGGGAACACAGCACAGGAGATATGGCAGCTGCGCATCGCCATGCGCCCTTGCCCCCATGATGCATATTTATAGATCGGTCGCTGCTCAATAAGCGAACATTTTGCTATTTTTGCAAATAAATAGGTCTAAATTCAAATTGCTCGTTTTCGGGAATTCTAGAAAGAATGTTGTAGTTTAGATCTTATCTTTCAAACAATTATTTTTGTTTCGCTGGGGGAGTCAGTGTCAGGTTTAGCAAATATATATTATTAGATCATTTTCTAAATACATGTCACCTCAAAGCCAGATTATATTTAAATATCCTGTAAATTTGCACTGCTATGCTGATACACGGATATATATCTGTGAAGCCTGATATTACCTTTCAATCAGTTTTACTTGAGTGCAGAATTTACATAAAATTTTGGATGTCCCAAAATATCTTCTTGGACTCCAAGGAGCACGTTTTGATAGTAGGTTCTCAGCACCAATTTAACTTCTTAAATATACGTGGTTGACTAAAATCCTAATCACCAATGGCGAAAACATAGTCCATATCTTTATTTCATCAAGACTAGACTACGGGCCTGCTTTGTTTTCTGGGCTTACCGGTGCAACGTTATCACGGCTATAGCTTGAGCATAATTCAGCTGCAACGGTGCTCACCAGAACAAGCAAGAGATGACACATAATTCCTGTGCTGCCATATTTGGTGAGAACCTCCTTCCCTCAGCCAAGGCATTGAAAATGGGTCGTGGATGGGTATTCCAGCATGACAGTGACCCAAAACACACGGCCAAGGCAACAAAGGAGTGGCTCAAAAAGAAGCACATTAAGGTCCTGGAGTGGCCTAGCCAGTCTCCAGACCTTAATCACATAGAAAATATGTGGAGGGAGCTGAAGGTTCGAGTTGCCAAACGTCAGCCTCTAAACCTTAATGACTTGGAGAAGATCTGCAAAGAGGAGTGGGACAAAATCCCTCCTGAGATGTGTGCAAACCTGGTGGCCAACTACAAGAAACGTCTGACCTGTGATTGCCAACAAGGGTTTTGCCACCAAGTACTAAGTCATGTTTTGCAGAGGGGTCAAATACTTATTTCCCTCATTAAAATGCAAATCAATTTATAACATTTTTGACATGCGTTTTTCTGGATTTTTTTGTTGTTATTCTGTCTCTCACTGTTCAAATAAACCCACCATTAAAATTATAGACTGATCATTTCTTTGTCAGTGGGCAAACGTACAAAATCAGCAGGGGATCAAATACTTTTTTCCCTCACTGTAAATTCAACACCTCCAATCTGAAGCGCTTATGTACATTGCAACATCTAAAGTTGTGCTGCTGTTTGCCAGAACACTGTGTGTAAATGAGTGAGAGGATTTAGTGATTCAATGAGTGAGAATAATAAGCATCTGCATGAGGGAAAAATTAGTGAATGAGGCATGAGTGAGATAATGTTGAATAATTCATGAATAAGAATTAGTACGTGACAGACAAATGAGTGAATGCAAGGAATGATATATTGATTGAGTTAAGGAATGAGTGAAATGATTGATTGTACTTTAATTGTGTAGTGTAGGGATGTGTATTCAAGTAGTGGTGTGGTGTAGTGTGGTATGGGGGTGTAGTGTAGTAATACAATGATTGAGTTTCCAAAGGTGTTATCAGTTATGTCAGTTGGTCTGGTGAGTGTGATTGATGAGGTTGGTGCCAGGTGAGTGATATCTGCTGAGTTTCAGGAGATGAGTGTGTGATGTCAGCAGAGTGTGTAGTGAGAGGCTAGCAGTAGAGAAGCTAGCAGAGTATGTAGTTAGAGCCTAGTAGTGGAGAGGAAGACAATATATAGTTGAGAGGCTAGCAGTGGAGAAACTACCAGGGTGTATAGTAATAGGCTAGCAGTGGAGAGGCTAGCAGAGGGTACGGCAAGAAGCTACCAGGGTGTGTAGCGATAGGGTAGCAGCGGAGAGAGTGAAGCGAGCGGAGCGCGGCAGGCAAACTAGCAGTAGAGAGGTTGAGGGTGAGAGAGAGCAAACTAGCAGTAGAGAGGTTGAGGGTAAGAGACAGCAACAAGCAGTAGAGAGGTTGAGAGAGGGAGCGAGCGGAGCGTGGCAGGCAAGCAACGCAAGCGGGAGGGTTGCGACGGAGTTACGTGGTGTTGCACGCGAAGAGTTATGTTGAATAAAAGTGACAAAAAGAAAAAAGGAAGAAGTTGTCCGCGTGAAATAAAGACACTGCACATATAAAGAATAACCAATGGATGTAGGCGAAAGATGAAGATAACTTCCACCCTACACTCATTGAAATGGAGAAACGGGAACATTTAGACATTATATTTCAAAAGTTAGTTATAACTCAATTGTAAATACATTTCATAGTGGAATACAACATATAAACAAGATTAATAAGCTACGTGATTTGTCAGAACATGTTGAATAATAATTTGCATAAGCAGTGTTAACATGTGCAACTGTATGATCCTGATTCCACTTAATCAATTACTCGTGCTGCAAACATTAACAAATACTGTACATTGAAATTGCATGAATACACATATGCATACCTTTGAAACTGTCTTCATTTTCTTCCACGTTTGACTGCAATACACAACAAGCAGTGTACAATATCTCGGACACGTTTGTGTATCTCAAACATAAACAATGTTTGAAGCATCTAAAGACATGAGCATCTCAAGCCACATGACACAACAAAGAGTACACAAAAGGTAAATAAAAGCATAAACATTTATCTCTACTTGGGTAGAATGAGTAAGTGATATGACTTACTGCGGTACCACACAGCACAATCCCATGGTAATGATGAGTGTGCTGTAATTAATGTTTAATGTTTACAGTTTAAAAAGGCAACCTGTCTCTAATTCACTTTGCTCTATGATCTATGTGTTTCTCTTTACCTGTGTATTTCGATGTATGCATCTCATCTTTCACAATCTATGTATAGTAACGATGGTTCACACTGATGAAAAGTTATTCTTTGTGCATATTGATGTCAAATGATCAAGTCGAGTTTTCCAAAATGCACTCCATCCTGCTCACCCTCGTCTCGTTATTTTCTGATATTGCTTCTAAGCTGTCTTCAAAAATTGCATTAGATATAAGTACCCTGTTGTAGTTTACAGTTTTTCTCGAACAATTATGTATTTGCTGTGCTTGCTTGTTAGTCGACAATGGCTACATACAACTCTTTTGGTGTCCATTAAACTGAATACAGCTTTCAGAGATAGAACCAGGTGATCCAAATTCTGTCATCTCTACATGGCATAAAGAACATCCGTTGTGTGTTGTGGGAAAGAGGCATATTATAGTGACACCAGAAGTAATTATCCCATGCCATCTTCTCGAGTTGTCCAACATGACCTAATATATAGTATGACCTGAGTGACATATTTGTGCTTCTTTAGTTCATGCTGAAGTCTTCAGAATGATAATTACAGTACATACGTGAAAGTCATTGTATATGTGTAGTGACATAGTGCTGACTGTTGGACAGCAGCAGCAACTGCAGATGGCAGGCCGGAGGAACTGGGGCAAGGATCATGATAGACCGTGTATGGAAGCCCCTGGAACCCTCTAGAGGGTTCGAGAAGGGGGGTGCAGCTAGGACGGAGCCAATTCGCACCGAGGGGATAATAAGGAGCAGAGAGCAAGAGCTCTGGGCTGCCGGTTCTGGGATTGGACTAGTCTCGTCGTCGCTGTTGTCGTCGTCACCCTCATCACTGCCGCCTATGCCCGATCATTGCGCAGCCGGACGGTAGTTGGCTGTCCCGGTCGGTGCCATCGGTGCAACGTGGACAGGATCGTGTCTGGGATGGGGCGCGCGGCAGCGGGGTCGTGTGTGGGAGACAGAGGGGGCCCGAGTAGTAGGGTGAACTCGGCAACAACAGCAACGAATAAAGAGGGCAGAGCGGTGCCTCCTGCGACCACCTCGTCTCCGGCTGACTGTGTGCGTCGTAAGTCACCCTCACGCACGGACGACACTACATTTGATGTCAGAAGTGGGGTATAAAAACCCACCAGTAGTGCTGTCGGGACGAGGACAGCGAGACGGTCGACCCTCCGACAGCCCCGGGATCGGGAACATGGTTAAAAAAAAACCCGCGGCTGCTGGGCGTCGATGGCGGGAAAGGCTATGCAAAAAAAAGGTGGGAGCAGCTGCGCGTCGACCTACAGAGCGGTGCTGGGCGTCGACGGCGGAAGCGGCTATGCAAAAGAGGCGGGAGCGCCTGAGCGACGACCGACAGAGAGCTGCAGGGCGTCGACGGAGAGAGAAGCTGCGCGTCAACGGAGAGAGAAGCTGGATGTCGACGGAGAAAGCAGCTGGGTGCTGACTGCGGGAGCGGTTACACATCGACGGAGAGAGGGCTGCTGGCCGTTGACGAAGAGAGAGCGGTTGCGGGTCGTCATGAGAGAGCAACTGCTCGTCGACGGAGAGAGCGGCTCCGAGAGTTCCCGTGGTCAAACGCCGACCAGGCAGCATGGCGGGAAACTGCAATGTGGAGAGGGGAACGGGCTGACACGAGGCATGGACCCCAGGGGACAGTGCAGAGGAAAGCAGGGAATTTGGAGCGGGAGCTGAAGTCTGAGCGGGAGCAGGGGGCTCCAGATGGGGGACTACGCACATGGTGGGCGCCATTTTGTCATCGGAGGACCTCCCGTGGCAGAGGGGCGCCATTTTAAGGCGAGGGCGGGAGTGCGCTGAGGAGGTGCAGCAAGTGACGGAGCTGCAAGAAGCCGCTCCAGAGGGAGCGGAGGGAGGACGAGATGCCCTATGCCTTCCAGGCAGTGCTGCTGGTGCTGGGACAAAGAGACATACCCACTCGTGGGTGAGGGGGCGCTCGACCTCCGTGTGGCGGAGAGGCTGCGGGGGCTAGAGAGGAGATTGAGGGTTGCCCTGCCCTCCGCCGTCGGCATGGAAATTTCTTCCTCGACGGTGGCCAGAACCATCCAAGTCCAGGAGGATTGACAGCAGCGGGAAAGGTGGGAGGCCGCAGCGGGAAATACGCAAGAAATGGCGGCAGCGGTGGAGAGTAGGGGGGCCCAAGGGCTGACACCCCCACGGGAGAACCTGGGGAGCAGCTCCCTCTGCTGTGGAGAGCCGCGCCGAAGTGCTTCATGTGTGGTCAGTCGAGCCACACTGCTGCAGACTGCCGGTGTGACGAGTGACATCGAGGAGTCACCCGTGCTCGTTGGGCCGCCGGCACAATCAACTTAAGCCCCATTGGACCGGGTCTCTGGGGCCTACCGAGACCGCCAAGTGTGAGGCCTCGGGGACCGGACCCGGCGGGCGATGCCGAGCGGCCACACCCTTTGAGCCAAGGACTCCATCTCCATCGTATCTTGGCCCTCTGAGTTCCGGAGGTGCAGGACCCTGCTGGGACGGGTGTGACCGGTGCTATGGACCGGATCACATGAGCTACGTTCCCGAATGGGGGGACTCTCCCTTGCACTGAGAGGGGACTTGGGGGGTGAAGGGGTGTTGGGGTTAAGGGCCTGGGTAAAAGGGTAAACGGAGGTGATGTGCTGATTCGCGAGCTCGAGGTGCTTCGTGTGTGGGGAGGGTCGCCGATTCGCGAATGGGGGTCTGTGAGGGAGTCACCGCTTCGTGAATTCGAGGATGCCGCGTGTGTGTGGGGAGTCGTCGGTTCGCGAGTTCGAGGACGCCGTGTAGGGAAGTGTTGGTTTGTTATTGGGGGGGCACCGGGGAGCAGTGGAACGTGTTGGCGTGGGAGATGTTGCGTATGTAACGGGATTGTGAGGGATTTTTTGGGGGAGGGGGTTTTGGTTGTTTTTCTTCGTAGATGTTGCTCGGTTTAAGGGTGTTGCCCTGTCTACCGCCGATTGCTACTGCTGTGTTAACAGCCGGGATGGCTGTTTTTTTTTAACGGAGGGGGAGGTGATGTAGTGACATAGCGCTGACTGTTGGACAGCAGCAGCAACTGCAGGTGGGCACTTAGCGCACACGCCGCTGAGCATATACGTGGGTGTGCCGGCAGGGTGGAGGAACTGGGGCAAGGGTCACGGTAGACCTCGTGTGGAAGCCCCTGGAACCCTCTGGAGGGTTCGAGAAGGGAGGCGCGGCTAGGGTGGAGCCAAGCCGCGCCGAGGGGAATATAAGCAGCGGAGAGCGAGAGCTCCGGGCTGCCGGTTCTGGAATTGGACTCATCTCGTCGTCGCCGCCCTCGTCGCTGCCGCCTTCGCCCGGTTATTGCGCGGCAGGACGGTAGTTAGTTGTCCCGGTCGACACCGTCGGTGCAACGCGGACAGGGTCGTGTCTGGGATTGGTCGTGCGGCAGCGGGGTCGTGTGTGGGAGAGAGAGGGAGCCCGAGTGGTGGCGTGAGCTCGCCAACAACAGCAATGAATAAAGAGGGCAGAGCGCTGCCTCCTGTGACCACCTGTGTCACACGTCACCCGCACGCACGGGCGACACTACATATGTAATGTATGTCCTGAAAATCAGTGTGTCAGCATTACAATTAAAGATGGACAATTTAAAACCAGTTGTATCTATTTTGTGTTTGTATGGTATCATATTGCCCCTCGACGGATTTAAGTCGTCGTGAAACGGTCCCATCTCTACTTAATGTCCCTGCTCACCAATATCTACTGCAATTGATACACTCCCGACCCATCGCACAACCCCAACCACTAAACAACTAACCTGTCTCATTCAACAACTTGCGTTTGCTCAGTTTCACAAAGTGACAATGCCTTTAAAAACACACGCCTGTGTCTGAGTTATGAGTGGAGAATAAATAGAAAAATGTGGGGCCTTAGGAGGAGGCGGGTGGGGAAAACCTCAAATGTGAATAAAGAGGAGCGCTTTAATCGTTAACTTTCATGTTGATATAAGGAAATGAAAGCATAAAATCTAAATCAATGCAACAGGAAGCAAAATATATTGCCGTAGATGTGTGTGGTAATGATGTAGTGGTTAGCACACTGCATTACAAACCCGCCCACTCACAGCCAACACTAATGAAGAATATCTGAACTGGTGTGTGTAAACACCATTGGGGAGACAAAGGTAGCCAGGAGTGATGCTGGCCACCCACCCGTGACATGCCGGTAACGGTCTTAATAGGTACTCGCTAACAGCAATTGCCCCAAGAGTCTGTTAACGGCTATATGGGGGATCTTTGTATATACAGTATGTGGGTACTGCATATGGTGGATGGCTATCCACAGTTCGACCAAACACTAACATTAATAACGTAAACGCCCAACTTTACCTATCTGTACTCTTTGGTTTTATTCGGTAAAGTCACGTGACCAAATAAAACCAAAGAGTATGAATCCTTGCAGTCACAAAAGCTTCAAATCTAGAATTTACCTATCTGTGATGAACATGATGAACGCTTGAGAGAGAACGAGGCAATTCGGTGTTGATTCCCAGAATCGATTCCCAGAATCGACTTGGCCCCCACCGACACGACTTTGCCATTTATTTTGAAATGACCACATTTTCCCATTCTCCCCATATACGCTATTACAATAAACAAGTCGCAGGGACAGACGTTCGATTACGTTGGTAAAGACGAAGAACATTTCTATCTTCGAATGCTGCTGTTGCATGTTCGAGGTGCGACCAGCTTTGAGTTGCTGCGAACCGTCGACAGAGTGGTGTGCGAGAGCTTTAAGGCAGCAGCTTCAGCGCGAGGTCTTCTTGATTCGGACGACGAATGGGATCGCTGCTTGACGGATGCCGGAACCTACATGATGCCGAAGCAGTTGCGCGAGATGTTTGCTTTAATCTGCTGCTTCTCTCAGCCCGCATCACCTCTCAAGATGTGGGAGGACCACAAATTGGACTTAACTCTCGACTACATGCGTAGAGATGCCGACGACACCGCGATCAACAAAGCACTTCACGACATCAACAGCGTTCTGCAGCAGCACGGATTCTCTTGCAAAGCAACTGGCTTGTCAACACCAAAGGGAAACCCACCGGAAGAAGACGTGATGCCCAAGTTGAGGAAGCAAACGAGGGCGCACAACGTCTCACGATGCTCAACGAGAAGCAGCTCGACGCGTTCAAAAAGATCATCATGTCTGTCGATGACGAGAATGTGACGCACCGATGCTTCTATCTCGACGGTCCCGGAGGTTCGGGCAAGACCTTCCTCTACACAACTCTCATGGCGTACATCCGGGGTCAAGAACAAATTGTACTGCCATGTGCAACGACAGGCATCGCCGGAACAATGCTCGAAGGAAGATGTACTGTTCACAGCGGATTAAAGTTTCCAGTTCCCTTGCTCAACACTTCAGTCTCTTCCATGTGGCCTGCATCGCTACAAGCCAAAGTTCTGCACCGAAGAACAGACTTCACTGCATCGACAAGCTCTTGCGCGAGGTGATGGGCAACGAGAAACCATTCGGCGGCAAAGTCTTCGTTGTAGGCGGCGACTTCAGACAGACTCTTCCCATTGTGCCACGAGGAATGCGAACGGAGATCGTTGAGTGCTGTATCAAGACATTCCCAGTTGTGGAAAAACTTCACGCAGCTTATGCTTATGACAAACATGCACAGCGAGGGACAAAATGAGCACAACGAATGGCTGCTTAAAGTTAGAACAGGCAGCTTGCCCCCAGTGCCGGGAATCTTCGAAGAGAGCACAATTCAAATCCCGGAGCAGATGATGGCAATGGAGGATCCCTTCGAATCCATCTTCGGCAGCATTGGAGATATGTCTATAGACGACCTTTCGAAGCGAGTCATTGTCGCACCGACCAATGCACAGACACTCGAAATGAACCGCAAAATCATCGGACAGATGCCTGGCGAGCCCGTCATCTACTACAGCGCCGATTCAGTCGAGAGCGAAGATCCCAGCAACACAATACATTTTCCAGTCGAGTTTCTCAATGACCAGACGCCATCGAGAATGCCACCACACATCCTGCTGCTGAAGAAGGGTGTCATCATCATGCTTCTGCGGAATCTCGACCCAAAGAAAGGACTTTGCAACGGCACGCGACTGATTGTCGAGGAGCTCGGTGTTGATTCCCAGAATCGACTTGGCCCCCACCGACACGACTTTGCCATTTGTTTTGTGATGAAGACAATTTCCCATTATCCCTCCATACGCTATCACAATCAACAAGTCGAAGGGACAGACGTTTGATTGCGTTGGAATCGATCTGCAGACGGCGGTCTTCTCGCATGGCCAGCTCTATGTCGCCTTATCTCGATCCCGCAATCCCAACCCGGTTAAAGTCCGCATCGAACCGAACCCCCAGCAAGGACATCTACTTAACGACGAAAGAAAATTCACACGACATGTCGTTTTCAATTAAGTCTTCCAGATGTAAAATGATATAAGCTTTTAATGAAGAAATAAAATTATCTAATTCAAAACATACTAATATTCAAAGATGTTTCATTTTAAAACTTCTAAACGGAGCATCAGGTGCTTGCGTGAATGCGTCCTTCGTGTGCAAATTTTGTGACTTTCCTGGCCAAAGGCCGTATATGATTGTGAGGGGCGCCACAGGTGCCCCCGACCAACCTAGTAGTCATATAACGATCTTGGTCATGGCTGATGGAAAATAGAAAAAAATCCCTAACTTCCACCAATAGGTGGCACTCGTTCTTTACGTCTATACTTATTTCTAAAATTCACCTACCATGTCACCTCAGAAGGTTCCTACCAACAGCTGCAGTGTGTGGTTGAGTTTGTGTTAATGTTTCAATGGATCGTTTTGTGTTTTAAAAGATGTTGGAGAACCTTCTCTAGCATCCAGCAGCACAGATTGCAATCTACCAACAATGTCCAAGAAGTAAATTTTCATGAAAATTTGAAGCAGGAATATAGTTAATCAATTGAATTACGAACATTTCTCTTTCCTATGCAATACAAACTTGGGCATTATGCAGGTAATTTACAGCATATCTCCACAAACCATGCTTATTTCACAGATACATTTCCACCTGGGTGTTGCTGAAAGGGTTGTCAAAATTGGTTGTTAAACACATATCACCGCTGAGCAAGCAATGCTAAAAACAGCCATGTCTGGCCATGTTGGCTAGCTTTACGGACACTTGATTATTAGAAAAGAAAAACAACCTTTTCTCATGCTGAATTAATCAAGGAATATATTTTAAAGTCTATACATATGTGAAGCACAATCATGCAGCAAGTTCGAAATTTGCAGCTCAATTGTAACACAATTATGTGCAGGATCTATTAAATATCTGAAAACTCGATTGGTTTGCTTAAAGTGTGTCTGCTTCGGAAGATTAATAGTTCTGGATACAGCCACATTTGCCAATTTGATTTGTAACTTTGATCTTTACCTGTGTATGGATAGTTCAATGTTAATTTGCCATTTTATTGAGGGACTTCTGTGTGATCTGGGACTGTTTTGTTATTTGTGCTGCCTTGTTGAAGCTTCATAAATCGGACATATATAATTAATAAATGATGCATATTTAGTGACTTGCTTACCGTTTTCTATATTTTTTACTCCTATTGTTTTTTGTATTGTTGTTGTAACTTGCTGACCCACCTATGCTGGATGTCTGTGAAAAAGAGGGTCTTAGCTCATTGAATTCCTCTAGTCTAAATAATCTGATTCTGATTGCCTTTAATTAGATTAAAGACATTCATGGTCCAGCAGAGCTGTGTATCTGGATTCAAGGTGCATCTGCACTATGAAGTATGGTTGAGTTGAAGGAAAGTTAATGAGCACTTCATTGATTGCTTCCCCAGGTCAATGGATATATGCATAATAAACACATCGCAGCATTTGCTGAATTTCTGACAGATATTGAATGGGTATGTGTTTTGGCTTTTCTGACCAATGTGAGCAAGCACCTGAATCTTCTTGTGACTCTCCCAATCGCAAGATTATATATGTAGTGTCCTTATATCCAAATTAATTCCACTCTAAGAATGAAGCCGAAGACTCCCTGAACAAAATGAAGCATTTCGCAATGGAAAAGCTTGTCTATTTATATCAAAGTGTTTCGTAGCAGCAGATAAACCTGGTGCTATTTTGTGAATGGGAATATAATGCAATATAAAATTATATTTCACAAGTCAAAACAAATGTCTTACTCATCAGCGTACCTTATCCCAGACACCAACCAGGCTCTCAATGGTAGAGCGGTCAAGAGTAGTCCCAGCATCCTTGTGCATCCTGCTGGCACCTATACAAACCACATATATTAATTTATATTTGGAGACACTGAAGAAAGTACTAATTAATAATGTCATTATTCATAAAGCTATTTAGTTAAACCACTGCATGTGACGTCACAAAGATAACACATGAAACATGTTGTCAAACTTATGTAAAAACAATTGCTGCAAGGAGAAAACCTTAAACAAATGATCAATAAAACATCATGTATGAACTTCTAATAATGCATAGTGGGTGGGAGACGGTAACCTTCTTGTGGCCCTCCTATCACATCTTCGTGTTACCTGAGAAACAATTAATATCTTTTGATTTAAAGCTTTCGTGACTGCAAGGATTCATCTTCTTTGGTTCTTTCGGTAAAGTCACGTAGAATGAGAATAAAATAATAAATTAATAAAATAACGCAATAAAATTCTCACGACGTTTCGACCACAACACAAGTGGCCTTCTTCAGGTGAAAGGAACAGACCTGTCGGGACGACAGAGCTTCAATCAACGTTGTTAAGATTCGTAGCGTATTTTAAGCTGGTTTAGAGAAGTGAGGTACCTTGACAAAGGGGTTTACATATCAAACAGGAGAATTTAGCATTGAAATAGCTGAGTGATTAGCTTGTGACTGGTCATAGAAATAGCTATGTTAAAGTTAAAGCTTACACATCCACAGAGGCACCTAGTACAAATCAAACAGGATAATTTAGCATTGAAATAGCTGAGTGATTAGCTTGTGACTGGTCACAGAAATGGCTATGTTAAAGTCAAAGCCTACACATCCACAGAGGCACCTAGTACAAATCAAACAATAGAATTGAGCATTCAAATAACTGAGTGATAAGCTTGTGACTGGTCATAGAAATAGCTATGTTAAAGTCAAAGCCTACACATCCACAGAGGCACCTAGTATAAATCAAACAGGAGAATTTAGCATTGAAATAACTGAGGGATTAGCTTGTGACTGGTCATAGAAATAGCTATGTTAAAGTCAAAGCCTACACATCTACAGAGGCACCTAGTATATGGACGCCAAAGGGGCTGCAACAACTCGACTATCATATAGTAAATCGATGTGAAAAAAAACCTAAGTCTAAATTACATCAATATAATAAATGTACTCACTATATTCTTCAATAAGCTGAGCTATTAACAGTAACTGGGTATACACTACGCTATATAATGAATACCATATAGTAAACCAAAAAAAAACTAAAATATAAACTGACCTTCAGACCGCAGCTCTTTCGCTGGGATTGACTCTTAATACCTCTCACACCACGGTTCATAGTATGGTTTACAACATGGAGTATAACAGCGCCTCGCAGCTGTCTCTCTCCCCCTCCTCCGTTCCGACCATGGATGAACTCGTCCGTCTGAACGGGGCTCGTAGCTATCCGTGGTGCTGAAGTTGAGGGTAAGAATCCACCCATTTTTTCGACATATAGCATTGTGATAAATAACAACTTAGTGTTGGTAGCTTAGCTGATTGGAGAATATATAAAGTTTATTGATAACATTGAGGTCGTTTATATTTTAGTTTTTATTGGTTTACTATATGGTATTCATTATATAGTGTAGTGAATACCCAGTTACTGTTAATAGCTCAGCTTATTGAAGAATATATTGAGTACATTTATTGTATTGATGTAATTTAGACTGAGGTTTTTTTCACATTGGTTTACTATATGATAGTCGAGTTGTTGCAGCCCCTTTGGCGTCCATGTACTAGGTGCCTCTGTAGATGTGTAGGCTTTGACTTTAACATAGCTATTTCTATCACCAGTCACAAGCTAATCCCTCAATTATTTCAATGCTAAATTCTCCTGTTTGATTTGTACTAGGTGCCTCTGTGGATGTGTAGGCTTTGACTTTAACATAGCCATCTCTGTGACCAGTCACAAGCTAATCACTCAGCTATTTCAATGCTAAATTATCCTGTTTGATTTGTACTAGGTGCCTCTGTGGATGTGTAAGCTTTAACTTTAACATAGCGATTTCTATGACCAGTCACAAGCTAATCACTCAGCTATTTCAATGCTAAATTCTCCTGTTTGATATGTAAACCCCTTTGTCAAGGTGCCTCACTTCTCTAAACCAGCTTAAAAGATGCTACGAATCTTAACAACGTTCATTGAAGCTCTGTCGTCCCGACAGGTCTGTTCCTTTCACCTGAAGAAGGCCACTTGTGTTGTGGTCCAAACGTCGTGAGAATTTTATTGTGTTATTTTATTATTTTATTATTTTATTCTCATTCTACGTGACTTTACCGAAAGAACCAAAGAAGACAACTAATATCGTCGTCTAGGCGAAATTGACATCATTAGGTCATATCCAGATGTAGGTCAGTCAAGCTACACGCTGAGAAAAAGGCCGTTTGAAGAGCCAAAAACCCATTGGATGAGGTATTCGAGTATACCAACGAACCACTGGAGGATTAATCATCGAAATACCTAAATGTGATTTCCTGGCCAAAAGCAACACTAAAAAACATAGACATGGTCGCCTTACAGGAGATGCACTTTGCAGAGAGTACACAGATGGAAAGCTGCTGCCATCTACTACCACAAACATGGCCTCGCCACCTTCATCAGGCAAGGCCTCTATATTCTCAAGAACACCACCACAAATGACGGCACATCGACTATAATCGCCATAGTTGGTCATGTGACGGTAACTAATTTATGTAAACTCCCAAATATTGATTGGCCATCGCCAACTCTGCCAGCAGGCACTCACCCGGCTATAAATATGGGTGACTTCAATAGTGGCCACACACAATGGGTTACTCAGAATTACGAAGCCAGAGAGCAATTTGAGAAAGCCATCAGCAAAAGACATTCCTTATATACATCCCTAAACAGACAGAAATTTTTCACTCAGACATGCCTTCATCTCAAATTACAAGAATGGACAGCCACTAATTTATTCATGAACCATTATAGGCAATACCAACCATAATTTAAGTTTTTTGGGGTTATATTGTGTAAATAAAAATGTCGTTAAACCCGCCACCACCCGACAGAGTCAATTAGTAAGGATTGTCACATGAACGACCATGCCAACTTCTTCTTCAGCACACCAGTGTGTTGGAGAGTAAACCCATAACAGTTTCAATCTGAGCACGATGTTTCGCTGGCGATTACAATGAACTTCATCAGGCAATAGCCATAATTGTGAAAGAAAGTCCTCCTGTTTTGGTCTTATATACAGGGGTAAAGGTGATGTCATCACTGTGTGCCAATTAGGAGATTTCCAAAGAGGCAACACAGACCAGCAGTCACACCCATTGGAATACTGATATCGGTCATACCACAAACCTACAGCCATGTTGGAACTTTTGGAAAGCCAATTGGTGACAAAAAAAAAACTTAAAGCCCAATTGAAGAACCTGGAACCAAAACCTGAAAACTTCATGGTGACATCCTTGGGAATCCCCCCCCCCACCTCCCCCTGAAGTTGAGGGGCTCCCTATAAATATTGTAGTGGGATGTTGTGCCACGTTGAATTGTCAAGGAGGCATTTCGGGTTTTTTTCTCTCTTCTTATTTGCACTTTTCTCCTTTTTCCCCTCTTCACCTTCCCCAGTTGCCCTTGCGCAGTATCGGCTATCAGGGAAAGATGCATATGTTTTATGTTGTCTTGTGCCATTTCCTCTTTCTTGATTCTTATGCAATTTTTTGCAGGGGGCATTACACTCCATGGGGGTTATCAGGGCAGCATAGGTAGACTAAGCAGCGGACGGCTCGATCTCAAGTGGAGAGGAGTTATGTAGACGTCGTGCGGAGGCCACACTTAGGAAATGTAGGGGTCATGCATGGGACGCATAACCATGCCCAAGGAAAATAATTAAAGAAAGGTGCCAGGAAGGCATGAAAAACAAAATATGAGATTGGGGAAAAACCCAAAAGAGACATCTTGGCGGAAAGGGGCTCTGGGCTTTGGGGAAAGAAAAGGCTTGGAATCAACGACCCCTATTACTGAATGTGATGCTTTCCTTGGTGACAAATATCACACACCTGTATCTGAACTTGGCCATGCTTCAGCTGCGTCGCTGGGTCCTGATGTTGCAGGTTCACAGTCAAACATCTTCTCAATCTTCATGACGTCCCCATCACTCAGGGTGTGGCAGCCACCAAAGCGACGCATCCTTCTCATGTTCTTGGGAATCATGGTCGGGCTCTGCTCGTCTTTAGAGCCAGCGATCCTGGGGGGACATACAGAACCATTAACACTGATGCAATGCAATTACAGCACGGAAATACAGACTCAGAGTATTTTATAGCACGTTTTCTCAACAGAGTGTGTATGTAATACAAACATGAAACATCCCTCTTCCTAGCCACGTTTTATCTCATAGTAATTTACAAATATACATCTCACCATCTGTTTATTAATGCTACTTTATGAAATTACAAATATGTATACAGTCGACCCTTCCACATCACGGGGGTTAGGGGCGCAGGCCCCCCACGATCTGGAAAAAACGCATAAAATGTTTTGGTTCCCTTAATGAGCGAAGCGAGCACCTCCAGCCAGGGGGTTCGGGGGGGGGGGGGCAGTGTGAGCCTTTGCGCATCGTCTGCTGGTTTTCGCGTTCTTTTCTCAAACTGTAACTTATTACAAAATTTTAATAATAAAAAAGATAAAACACATTCATATTATACAGTACTGTACATATATTTTATGCATTTACTAAACTTTTTGTGTGTCATCTGCTGGCCTTCGCGTGTCATCTGCTGATTTCGCAAAACTCCCAAAAACTCCCAAAAAATTCCCATGTAATATATTATGCCGACCCCGCGATATATCGAAACCGCGATGGAGAAAGCCGCGATGCAGAAGGGTGGACTGTACATATAAAAAACTAACATGTTAAGAAATGGCCTACTTAAGAGTTAGCCTTCTTGATGTGAGATTTAAAATGGTCACTGCCAAAAACGTCATGAAATTTATATATTTTATTTTAAGGCAGTGTTATCAACGAAATTAATTGGAGGGGTTTTTGGTTAACTGCATATGCAGCACTGCCCACGCAGCATCACCAAAGAATTTGTTTAGTCTTGGGAGTTGACTGGTGTCCATAAAACACTGGGAAAAATGAAGATAGTTAATATACTTATAATTCATATTCACGATGTCAGAGTCTTGGATGAAATATGCAGCATGGCTGCAAATAGACTGTACAATCTACAAGCCTGTGCTCGTATCTTTAGCCAAATAAATGAAGTAGAACGTTGTATAGCCTGGATTGTTAAGATTTTTTTATTCAAAATAAAATGCTTTACATGTGTAGTGGCATAGCGCTGACTGTTGGACAGCTGCAGCAACTGCAGGTGGGCACTTAGCGCACATGCCGCTGAGCATATATGCGGGTGTGCTGGCTGGGCGGAGGAACTGGGGTAAGGGGCATGGTAGATCTCGTGTGGAAGCCCCTGGAGCCCTCTGGAGGATTCGAGAAGGGAGGCGCGGCTAGGGCGGAGCCAAGCCACGCCGAGGGGAATATAAGCAGCGGAGAGCGAGAGCTCCGGGCTGCCGGTTCTGGGATTAGATTCGTCTCGTCGTCGCCGCCCTCGACGCTGCCGCCTTCGCCCGGTTATTGCGCGGCAGGACGATAGTTAGTTGTCCCGGTCGACACCGTCGGTGCAACGCGGACAGGGTCGTGTCTGGGATAAGTCGTGCGGCAGCGGGGTCGTGTGTGGGAGAGAGAGGGGGCCCGAGTGGTGGCGTGAGCTCGGCAACAACAATAAATAGGCAGATCGGTGCCTCCTGCGACCACCTCGTCTCCGGCTGACTGTGTGACGCACGCCACCCGCACGCACAGACGACACAACATATGCAACAAACCTGAATTTGTTTTTTAGCTTTATACTGTATGTACATACGTATGACAAAGTGATAATATTTTAGTAATTCAGTAATTGAATGTCTACTGAATAGTTATTGACATGTATATGAGTTAGATGTAACATACATGCTGTAGTGGGTGATGGAGCTGTAATCGTATGGAGTTGTTAGATTGTGTCCATGTGATGTTTTTTTCTCAATAGCGTCCTTCCAATCTGAAAAAAGAAAACAACTTTATACATCATGGGATATCCTTTCCCAGTACCAAAATATGATAATAGGTTTTTACCCTTTTTTCTGGCAACAAAACAGGTGTTAAGATGTAAAAAGACCAAACTGAAACATTTTACAAGGTTTTAGTTTGGTGATAGTGCATTGTTTTTGGGCTGTACGCCTTTTGGCGTCCTCTGGTCTAACACCGTTTGAGACGAGGCTCAAAATAAAGCTGTCTATGGTGTGGACCAATCAGTTTCAAGGACAATACATATATTGATTTGAAGCTTTCGTGACTGCAGAAATCTATACTCTTTGGTTATTTCGGTAAAGTCACGTATATTTATTTTATGCCTCTTCTTTGGTCCTTTCGGTAAAGTCACGTAGAATGAGAATAAAATAATAAATTAATAAAATAAAATAACACAATAAAATTCTCACGACGTTTCGGCCACAACACAAGTGGCCTTCTTCAGATGAAAGGAACAGACCTGTCGGGACGACAGAGCTTCAATGAACGCTGTTAAGATTTGTAGCGTCTTTTAAGCTGGTTTAGAGAGGTGAGGCACCTTGACAAAGGGGTTTACATATAAAACAGGAGAATTTAGCATTGAAATAGCTGAGTGATTAGCTTGTTACTGGTCACAGAAATGGCTATGTTAAAGTCAAAGCCTACACATCCAGAGGCACCTAGCACAAATCAAACAGGAGAATTTAGCATTGAAATAGCTGAGTGATTAGCTTGTGACTGGTCACAGAAATGGCTATGTTAAAGTCAAAGCCTACACATCCACAGAGGCACCTAGTACAAATCAAACAAGAGAATTTAGCATTGAAATAACTGAGGGATTAGCTTGTGACTGGTCATAGAAATAGCTATGTTAAAGTCAAGCCTACACATCCACAGAGGCACCTAGTACAAATCAAACAGGAGAATTTAGCATTGAAATAGCTGAGTGATTAGCTTGTGACTGGTCACAGAAATGGCTATGTTAAAGTCAAAGCCTACACATCCACAGAGGCACCTAGTATAAATCAAACAGGAGAATTTAGCATTGAAATAACTGAGGGATTAGCTTGTGATTGGTCAGAGAAATAGCTATGTTAAAGTCAAAGCCTACACATCTACAGAGGCACCTAGTACATGGACGACAAAGGGGCTGCAACAACTCGACTATCATATAGTAAACCGATGTGAAAATAAGCCAAGTCTAAATTACATCAATATAATAAATGTACTCAATATATTCTTCAATAAGCTGAGCTATTAACACTAACTGGGTATACACTACAATATATAATGAATACCATATAGTAAACCAATAAAAACTAAAATATAAACTACCTCAATGTTATCAATAAACTCTATATATTCTCCAATCAGCCAAGCTACCAACAATAAGTCGTTATATATCACAATGCTATATGGCGAAAAAATGGGTGGATTCTTACCCTCAACTTCAGCACCACGGATAGCTACGAGCCCCGTTCAGATGGACGAGTTCATCCATGGTCGGAACAGAGGAGGGGGAGAGAGACAGCTGCGAGGCGCTGTTATACTCCATGTTCTTTGGTTCTATTCGGTAAAGTCACGTAGGTAAAAAATAAAAAACAAAAACCATGACGTTTCGGCCACAACACAAGCGGCCTTCATCAGGTGAAGGGACCAGGCTGTCTCGAGGACAGCGCTGGAGTGAAACAGAGCCACGCTCAGACCGTGACCTTTAAGCTGTGTGCGAGGAAACAAGGTGCCTTGACACAGCTTAAAGGTCGCGGTCTGAGCGTGGCATTGTTTTACTCCAGCGCTGTCCTCGAGACAGCCTGGTCCCTTCACCTGATGAAGGCCGCTTGTGTTGTGGCCGAAACGTCGTGATTTTAGTTGTTTTATTTTTTACCTATGTGACTTTACCGAATAGAACCAAACAGTATGGATCCTTGCAGTCATGAAAGCTTTACATCTAGAATACTCCATGTTGTAAACCATACCATTAACCGTGGTGTGAGAGGTGCATTTCCGACCAGGAACACATTACCAGTGAATTCAAGCACGTACACCAGGCTCTCAGGGCTAATGGTTACTCCGACTACACAATCCGCAAAGCCATCACTCCAGTCATGAAGAAGGATCCTCTTGTGGAGCCACCCACAACCATCAACTTACCCTACATCGCAGGGGTCACTAAAAAGATCTCCAAAATCCTGAATAAACACAAGATCCAGGTCCAATTCAACACAGTACATAAAATCCGTGATCTGGTTCCATCTGTAAAAGATGCTGTTCCAGACATACAGTACCAGGGCGTTTACAAACTAAAGTGCCTATGTGGTAGTAGCTACATTGGAGAAACCAAACGACATATCTCGGACCACACCCGCGAACATAAAGCAGACGTGAAACACGGTAGAACGAACTCCTCTGCCGTGGCAGATCACTGTTATAATTTAGTGGGCTCACATGACATTGACTTCTCCAAGACGGAGGTTCTCTGCAAACCAACCGGCTACCATGAGAGATTCGTTCATGAGGCCATTCACATATACAAGCACAGAGACAATTTCAACCGAGAAGATGGATTCTGGCTTAGTAACCATTGGAAAGATGTTTTAAACAATTTCGGTTCTTAATTAATTGTATTTTACGATGACCTTCAGACCGCAGCTCTTTCGCTGGCATTGACTCTTAACACCTCTCACACCACAGTTAATGGTATGGTTTACAACATGGAGTATAACAGCACCTCGCAGCTGTCTCTCTCCCCCTCCTCCGTTCCGACCATGGATGAACTCGTCCGTCTGAATGGGGCTCGTAGCTATCCGTGGTGCTGAAGTTGAGGGTAAGAATCCACCCATTTTTTCACCATATAGCATTGTGATATATAACGACTTATTGTTGGTAGCTTGGCTGATTGGAGAATATATAGAGTTTATTAATAACATTGAGATAGTTTATATTTTTAGTTTTTAATTAGCAATTATCCTCAGTTTATTATGACTAAATTATCCTGTTTGATTTGTAGTAGGTGCCTCTGTGGATGTGTAAGCTTTGACTTTAACATAGCTATTTCTATGACCAGTCACAAGCTAATCACTCAGCTATTTCAATGCTAAATTCTCCTGTTTTATATGTAAACCCCTTTGTCAAGGTGCCTCACCTCTCTAAACCAGCTTAAAAGACGCTACGAATCTTAACGTTCATTGAACCTCTGTCATCCCAACAGGTCTGTTCATTTCACCGGAAGAAGGCCACTTGTGTTGTGGCCGAAACGTCGTGAGAATTTTATTGTTATTTTATTTTATTAATTTATTTTATTCTCATTCTATGTGACTTTACCGAAAGAACCAAAGAAGTTGAATCCTTGCAGTCACGAAAGCTTTACATCGATTTTTTATACCTACGTGACTTTACCGAAAGAACCAAAGACAATGCATATATTATCAGAGTATGTTTTTTGTTTGCATTCTGACCACAAGCATTGTGGTTAATGCGTACATGATTCGTTGTAAAAGGTTTCAGTTTGGTGTTTTAACATCTTAACACCTATTCTTGGTTCTTTCGGTAAAGTCATGTTTTTTTGTTATTTTATTGTTTCCCTTCTACGTGACTTTACCGAAAGAACCAAGAATATGAATCCCTGCAGTCACGAAAGCTTTAAATGAAAATCTTAACACCTGTTTTGTTGCCAGAAAAGCGGGGAAAAAACTATTATCAACTTTATACACTGGCAGATATAACCAAATAAAGTAAGGGCCTGCATTACCAGTGGTGCAAGAGCACACAATCATATCTCACCACATCTGCTCGTGACAGTGCCATACAAAAGATGCTTTAGTTTCGTTATATATATTATTGCATGATTTTGTATTCTAAGGCTGTGGGAATGATAAACGTGATGATTTTATATATAAAGCTTTTTTATGGGAAAGCTGTATCATGAGCTCTGTGATGCACATGCGAATAAAATGCTTGTTTAGGTATAGGAATGACCACTGATTCTGGCTGCCTGATAAAAAAAAAACAAGAATGTATTGAACCAACAATAGACTTGGTCATCTTTGTCAAAAGATTTTCCAAAATTAAAGACAAACGTAACACAAATCGTCCTTTTATATGATAATCCACAACATGCATGTTTCTGCAAGAATCCAGATTCAAGTTTAACTCACGCCAATACTGAGGAGTCCTAGGATCATAAAACGCCCACCGGTGTGCTCCATGCCAATGGATTCGCCGCGTACCATACAGCAGTAACAGGCACCAACAATATGACAGTATCATAACAGTGCCTGTCCTAAAATATGTTGCATAGAGGTGAAAGCTCACTGGCAGGAGGAAAAGGGACAGATCAAGATGCAAAGAGTCATCAGGAGAGAGTGACTGGTTAGCAAACCAACATTTTACCTTCTGTTTCCTTCAGGTTTTAAATCATTGCTATATATCTTGTTCTTGATAGTAGTTAGCAGCAGAACACCGTGCTCCAAGACATATATCACATGGATCTACTTTTGATCTACTTCATGGGGAACCATATAGACCTCTATCTGGCAGGCTATTAGCACACTCCTCAGATTCACACAACCACATTACACTCACCTTCCTTGATGTTGTCGCTCAGCACCCAGACGTGGTCGTCGCGGTCGCTGCGGCAGTGCTCATGGTGGAAGCCGAGCGCGTGCATCAACTCATGCAGAACCGTGCCCTTGGTCACCTTCCCAGGCACAAGGGACAGCGCCTGGTCCCCACCCTGATGGCCGAGGAACGACCAATTCCTGCAAAAACAGCATATCAGCACCATCCTTCGTATACTTAGCACTCAAAAGAGAAAAAGTCGATGCTTCCTCCAAAGAAATCACCTTTATTTAAGCCCTATCTCATTCACATTAACATTACACCTCTCTATATCATCCATATCCACACCCAGCCCAATAACAATGGTATACTCCTTGCATGCCCCTGCCATCTAAATCATTATATTTTGTCACCATTTTTTAAACTGTCATGTGCCTTGAGTAAATGGACTCCATAAATATAAAATTGGATTAAATAACACAACCATGCTAATACCACATACACACACACTGCAAACTATTACACCAATGCACTATGATCAACATTACACATGAACACCAAAAGTACACAACCCAAATGTCAACATGCACAAATCACATGTAAAACATTCATCAAAATAGAAATGGCCAAATATCACAGTGCAGAAGCCTCCTGAATGTCTTAAAACTCTGGGAGAATCCTGTATAAATGTATCTGATCACCACAGAAATCATGTGATCAATAATCATACCTCAATCATTATCACCTACTGTCATTATAATATTACCAATCTCACTATCAAATATCTTTAATCTCCCTTATCCAGTCATGTCTTCAAAAAGTCACTCTCACATCTGTTCAACCATGTTACCATAGTCTGGCAAACACGCCCATTTTAAATACATGTTCTCACTGACCAGTCCTCCAAGAGTGCACACATCAAAGTTATAAATCATCTCACCTACAGGATATCAACAATATCCACGCTATCCTTAGTAAAACTGTTTTATTTGGCATTATCTTTCACACTAATATATACATCAAACATTAACTAGAAGCACACCAAATTCCACAGTTGTAATTGGTTCTGAACAAAATAAAATCGGCTTTAAATATTTGGCTAAAGCAGAAGAGTAAACAAAAATTGGTTACATTTTGATTTAAAGCTTTCGTGACTGCAGGGATTCATATTCTTGGTTCTTTCAGTAAAGTCACATAGAAGGGAAACAATAAAATCATAAAAATAAAAAAAATAAAAAACGACATGTCTCGGACCGCATTCGTGAACACAAAGCAGACCTAAAACACGGTAGGACCAACACCTCGGCCGTGGCAGATCACTGTTATAATTCAGTAGGCCGTGGCAGATCACTGTTATAATTCAGTAGGCTCACATGACATTGACTTCTCCAAGACAGAGGTTCTCTGCAAGCCATCTGGCTACCATGAGAGATTCTTTCATGAGGCTATCCACATATACAAACACAAAGACAATTTCAACCGAGAAGATGGATTCTGGCTTAGCAATCATTGGAAGGATTTGATAAACCATTTCGGGTCTTAACTGATTGTTCACGCTTACGGTAGCTTTCAGACCGCATCCATTGTTTTCGTCTCCCCCCTCCTCTTTTCCGAACATAGATGGACTCGTCCATCTGAATAACTGGCAAATCGCTCTCCGTAGTGCTAACGTAAAAAAACGCCACTTTTTTCAAATTTTCTTGCTGTGGTTTTCACACCTGATGATGATTGCTTGTGTTGCAGTAGAAACGTCGTGATAATTTTATTGTTTTATATTTTTATTTTATTGTTTCCTTTCTACGTGACTTTACCGAAAGAACCAAGAATATAAAAATTGCTTAATCGGGTAACATTTTAAAGGTCTGTAAAAATAACTTAAACCTATTTTACATCACACGGTGGAGACGCCACTTTGATATGATGCTTACGAGACACAACCAAGAGAGTTATCGACAGGTTTAATCAATATTTATTTGTTATTGAAAAGCCTACGAACAACTAGGCGAATTATATGTTTATTCAAAATCATATCACTGTACTTACGTATGTGCAAGGAAAAAGAGCCATTACTCAAAACGTAACCTATACATATGTCTGATTATAAGGTAGATGCATGTGTTTTATTGTAATGTTCTGCCTGTGCAACACTACCAAAGCAGCATCACCAAATAATTAGATTACTATATATAGATAGCAGAGATGTCAGGTATTGATGCAAACCCTAGACCCATGAACGATACTTCCCAACCATCATTAGTGTGGAGTGCCATGGATTTGAACAACATGCAAGGATTTGGCATTTTACACGTTAATATCAGAGGCCTAATGGCTAAATTTGAACATTTCAAAACTGAGCTTAATCATTACTGCCCTGATATTTTATACCTGTCTCAAAAATGGTTAACCCACATATAACCAATAACCAAATTGGTGGAATTGATCCTGATAGTTCCCTTCTGAAGCCTGACTAGTGTGTCTTTAGAGTATCTGTGTCTCTGTACTAGCTGTATCTGTAGTGTCCATGTCTCTAGTGCCAGTGTCTCAGCAGAGGCTGACTCTTAGGAGTGTTTGTCTCTTTAGGTAGTGTCTACATTTCTGTAAGGTGTGTTTCTGTAACGTCGGTGCCTCTATTCGATGTATCTCTGTAATGGTTGCTTCCTCTGTAGTGCTTGCATCTCTGTAGTGTCTGTATCTGTCTTTGTACTGTACATTTTCTGCAGTATCTGTATGTCTGTTGTAGTATCGGTGTCTGTTCCAGTGGCTTTAGCTCTGGAATGTATGTCGTATCTGTGTCTCTGTAATGTGTGAGTGGTATATAGGAGGTTAGTCCACTAGCGACCCAAGTTCAATTCCTGCTCATGGCCAACATCAGTGATTAATATCTGAACCGACCATGGGCTTCCCCCTCTGACTCTGAGCCTGGCTAACTGCATGTGGATACTCAGTCAGCAGGTAACTACAGTCAGTCGAGCAGGCCACTTCAATCCCGGGTGAAAATTCTGGAAAACAGACTGTAGATGTTGGGCTACATTACTACCACCAGCATTAAATAATGAAGACATTTCAAGCAAACAACTAGCATTGTATTTAATTGATGTCACAAAATGAAGGTTTTTTACACCATTAACATGGCTGAATGCATCTTATTTTAAGGATTTTGCTTCCTATACCCACACACTGTGCCTCGACGAATATGGCGATGTAATTTGTGGAGAAAGTTGGACTATGGCCACCAGAGCAAAGCCATGCACCGCACACACTATCCACGCAGACTTGATCATAGACTACAGAGCAGTGTATTTAATATATTGTCGATTCAGTTGGCACAAGCAGTTGATAATAGACAACATATTAAAATACTTTACAGCATATTGACATGTTTGAAAATCAACAATATATTGCAATTCAGCATGTTTATAATACTATGTTTGATAATCGACAATATTTACATACAGCTTGTTAGAAATGTTTGATGATTGAATCAGAATCTTTATTTAGACTGGAGGAATCCGATGGGCTATGAAGCTCTTTTTCACAGATGTCTAGGAGGGGCAGGCCAGCAAGTTACAGCAAAATAAAGCGATAGAAGCATCAATTATAGAAAAAGGTAAGCAGGTCACAAAACATATATGTCTAATTTATCAAGCTTGGGAAAGTAAGCAAAAACAACATCAAACAGAGCCAGACCACACCAATATAACACACAGTCCCTCAAAAAAAATACACATTAACAATTAACTATCGAAACACCGGTTAGGATCAAAGTTACAAATGTGACTGTATCCAGCACTAATCTTCTGCTTCAGCATATTTGTGATGGAAGATTTGCGATGTTAAGGGAGGAAACAAGCTTGTTCCTACTTAATGGTAGGTTTATTTGAACAGTGAGAGACAGAATAACAACAAAAAATCCAGAAAAACGCATGTCAAAAATGTCTCAAGGCAGCTGGGACCATAGTCACCAAGAATACAATTGGTAACACACTACGCCGTGAAGGACTGAAATCCTGCAGCGCCCGCAAGGTCCCCCTGCTCAAGAAAGCACATATACATGCCCATCTGAGGTTTGCCAATGAACATCTGAATGATTCAGAGGACAACTGGGTGAACGTGTTGTGGTCAGATGAGACCAAAATGGAGCTCTTTGGCATCAACGCAACTCGCCGTGTTTGGAGGAGGAGGAATGCTGCCTATGACCCCAAGAACACCATCCCCACCGTCAAACATGGAGGTGGAAACATTATGGTTTGGGGGTGTTTTTCTGCTAAGGGGACAGGACAACTTCACCGCATCAAAGGGACGATGGACGGGGCCATGTACCGTCAAATCTTGGGTGAGAACCTCCTTCCCTCAGCCAGGGCATTGAAAATGGGTCGTGGATGGGTATTCCAGCATGACAATGACCCAAAACACATGGCTAAGGCAACAAAGGAGTGGCTCAAGAAGAAGCACATTAAGGTCCTGGAGTGGCCTAGCCAGTCTCCAGACCTTAATCCCATAGAAAATCTGTGGAGGGAGCTGAAGGTTCGAGTTGCCAAACGTCAGCCTCGAAACCTTAATGACTTGGAGAAGATCTGCAAAGAGGAGTGGGACAAAATCCCTCCTGAGATGTGTGAAAACCTGGTGGGCAACTACAAGAAACGTCTGACCTCTGTGATTGCCAACAAGGGTTTTGCCACCAAATACTAAGTCATGTTTTGTAGAGGGGTCAAATACTTATTTCCCTCATTAAAATGCAAATCAATTCATAACATTTTTGACATGTGTTTTTCTGGGTTTTATTGTTGTTATTCTGTCTCTCACTGTTCAAATAAACCTACCATTAAAATTATCTAACCTATATAAAAGTCTCTGCGCGTGTGCGTCTGCGAGGGATTTGGCTCTCGAACGGTTGGGTTTACGCAGAAAAAAAGTTGACAGGCAGCACGCCCTAAGCCCCGCGGTGGGAATAGGCTATTCCGTTTTCCCGTCCGTAAACTTTAAATTCGTTTAATTAGCCATTTAGTGTGATTTCGCTTGATTTATTTATTTATTGCGCGCATTGGGCCGTACCAACACCTCGGGATAGAGTCATAATGTTGGGTGACTTCAATGCCCAAGTTGGTCATGATGCTGGCACCTGGTCTGGAGTGATTGGAGGGCATGGGCCAGATCAGCTCAATAACAACGGTAGGAGGCTGCTAGATTTTTGTGCAGCCTA